GGCAGGGGGGTTGGACTAGATGACCCACAGAGGTCCCTTCCAACCCCGAACATTCTGTGATACCGGCTCTCCTGGGTGTCTGCACCCCATCTGAGCAGTGGTGTGGTCACAGCGACACTGGTTTGTACTGGGTAGGAGGTGGTGGGGCAATGCTGTGCTGCGATGGGCTGGATCTGTCCTGGAAATTCACTGTTCGGCTCGGCACCGGCTGCCCTCCTGCCCTCCGGCGCGGCACCACGGAGGGTCCCCACCGCTGGAGCAGGGCGAGGGGCAGGCACCGGGGACCTGCCCGGTAGGCGCAGGCAGGGAACGCGTCTCTCGGGCGTTTCTAAGGGGACTGAGAAAATAAATCTCTTTTCTGGCAGGATTCGAGCAACCCCTGCGCGAGGAAGCACGTAGCGCACAAGTGCCAGGAGCCAGCTCTCCTGCGGGAGCAAGTCGGTGTCCCCAGGCAAGCGGTGGCTGTGGCCTTGGCTTGGCTGTGTCCCAGCCCTGCTGCTCCCGGGGTGACAGCTGTGCAGTGGGGATGCTGCTCCACTTGCTGGGGGGCCCCTGAGGGGCTGCAGACCCCTCCAGTGTCCTCCCAGGGCAGGCAGGGCTCATGCTGGGGGGACTACAAGCTGTCAACGAGGGACCCCCAGGCTGCGCAGGTGCAGACCCTCACATACCCACTCTTTTAGGGCCAGCTGTCCCCCGCTACCTCGTTCCCTGGGGCTGTGTCCATTCGTACCCCGGCAGAAGGCAACTTCCTCCCACCAAAACTCACCAGAGGCCTGGAGCAGCATCGATGGGGGAGAGAAATCAGACTGGGAGGGAGGGCTCTGGAGACAGGGGTGGGTGTCGCTTACACACCAAGGGTGACAATGTTTCCATCAGCACCTATCGATATGATTCCCATAGGCTAAGGCCCCTGTCTGCCCAGTACCAGCAGAAGGCTGGTGTGACCCTGGCAGGTTATGGAAACACCTGGGCAGAAGGTAGCACAGCCACCACCTCCTGCTGAGGGAGCTGGGCTGGTTAATGCTCCAGAACTGGTAACAGCTAACGAAAAGCCCTAGGCACCATGTACTAACCCTTTGCAGGACTTCTGTAGGTGGACCCATGCACCTGGGTCCTTGCTCGGGGGCTTGAGGAAAGGGAGGCTGGTGGGCAGAGGGGACAGGAGCCCTATCCAGGCACCAGGGATGAAGAGGTGCTGGCAGAGCTGTTGGTGCATGGCACTGGAGATGGACAGTCAGCGAGATCTGGCTGAAGGACGGCGGCCATGGGAAGGTCTGGCTGGCCCAAGCCTTGGTGTAGGATGGGGAAACAGCGGCAGGAGGCAGCTGGTCTCACAGGGAAGCAATGCCACCGAGGTTAGGACAGAGGAACACTGCTGGAGGTGGAGATGATGGGGTCGTATAGGGTAATCCCAGCTAGGACACAGCTCAGGAGGTCTCTAGTCCAGCCCTGGTCACAGCAGGGTCAGCTCTGAGGTCAGACTTGACACAGGGCTTTACCCAGTCTGGTCTTGACAACCCCGCTGAGGATGGAAATAGAAGATGGACCATGACTGAAATCTCTAAAGCCCCCAGGCAGCAGACAACCCGAAAGAAGAGGGTTTCCCAGGGGGTTTCTCTGCACAAGCATCACCAAGCGCATGGGACAGGGCGCAGTCCACAGACCTGGCTGGCCACCAAGGAAACTGGTAAGCCACAAAGGCTGGTGAGAAATAAGCATGGGTGCAGGCAGCTTTAGCTGGTGCAGAGAGAGATACTCTCCCCCTGTAACACCCTTCCTGGAAGAAGACGTAACAACTACTAACACAGAGAACTGTTGGCATCACTCAGTACCATGAACGATGGCCGAGTAGCAGAGAAGGATGGGGACAAGGAGGAGGTATGTGGCCTTGGAGATGTCACCGCAGCCACGCTGCTGAAGCAGTTTTGCTGGGGGTTTTGCTGTTTTGCTCCTTGGCTGACAGTTAACTT